TACATAAAACAAATCAAAAATACAATGACTCAATCATGGCCATAGATCGACGACGACGTCTCTGATAAACCTTCCATGATCTGATGTCCCCATCAGATAGTGAAATTTAGATACTATATTGATTCATGTGTGACTTCATATCGTTTTCATTTTGTACACCTTAGGAGAGTTTCCATATAATTGATACTGCACAAGGCTCAATTTTCTATAAGAAGAGGTGTTTGGTCTAGGGCTTATGCAAACAATTGAATCTCCTGTTAACTCGCATACACTCTCAGTTTTAAGATTCTTTAGAGGATTAGTGGCTTCGAGGTGATGGGAGAAGAATGAAGTTTTTGTGTGAGGTAATAGTTGTGAGATTGTTCTTTAAGTTTCTTCGTATTTATGCATGTTGGGCTTGAGAATTAGGAAATAGCTATTGAGTGCACTTATTTAATATTTAAAATTACAGCATCTATATAGCAGATTGAATCACCTACCCTCTCCTAACATCATATGCCTGATTGGAGTTGAACAACCAAAAACTTTGTGCTTCTTCATGATTGTTCACTCTTTTTATTTTGTTTTTCCATTGTCTCTTTATTTATCTCGATGATGCTTTCACTTTGAGTCTTTTAGCACTCTTGTTACAGCATGTTCCTTAGGGAAATGAACAAGAACTTCTCCGAAGCTTATTTCTTAGACTTTTGATCTTCATAAATTTAGATTGGTTAAGCTCTTAAGCTAAGCAGCCTCTTTTTTTTTTTCCTCGGTTCTATTGTTGCTACCTTTTTAGAGAGGGAGCTGAAGGTAAACTCGAATTAAGGAGGTCAATCTTAGTGTCTAAAGGTTTTTGTTTGAGTAGATTTAAAACCGAATACATGGTGTGTAATTTTAATAGTAATAGATCTAGTGGGAAGTTTGTGGCTTTGAGCGATCAAGTCATTAATAAGTGTACTCGATTTAGATATCTTGGGTCTATTGTTCAAAGTGAAGGTGAAATAGATGGGGATATTATTGGTAGAATTCAAGTTGGATAGTTGAAGTGGAGGAATGCTTCGGGTTTGTTGTGTGATAGAAAAGTACCACTCAATCTTAAGATAAAATTGTATAAGATGGTGGTGAAACATGCAATGCTTTATGGCGCATAATGTTGGCCATTAAAAGAGAAGCATAATACTAAGTTAAGTGTTGCTGAGGTGAGGATGCTTTGGTGGATGAGTGGACTTACTCTTAGAGACGTGATACAAAACGAGTATATTCAGGAAAAGGTTGGGCTAGTTTTAATGACATAAGATTAGAGAGAGTCGCCTTAGATGGTTTGGCCATGTAAACGTTGGCCTTCCGATGACCCTGTTAAGAGAGTAGGTGTATTAGATTTGGCCTATGTTAAGAAAGGTAGAGGTAGACCTAAAAAGACTTGGTTAGAAATTATTAGAAATGACCTTTCTTTATTAGATTTAAATGAGAAATTGACTCTTAACATGACATTATGGAGAGAAAGGATTCATGTAGCCGACCCCATGTACTGGGATAAAGGCTTGATGTTGTTGTTGTAGTATTGTTGCTACCATTTTACAGCATGGTCCTAAGTCTTATGCTCAAAAACTCATGTAAAGCTTGATTTTTAGACTTGTAGCCTTTAAAAGATTTGTTTGATTATGCTCTTAAGGTAATGAGCTTCTATTTCTTTCTATTTTCTGACAGTTATATTCCTAGATTCTGAACTTCTATTTATATTTTTCAAGCTTTGTTTCAAATTTCTAAGATTTTTATTACTTTTTTTTTTCTTCGAATCTTTGTCCTATTTGTTTTGAGCTTCTTTTCTTTTAGAGATATGCTTGCTTCTAAGACGTGTGAGCATTTGTTTTCCCACCTTTGTTGGCTCTTTGAGATTTTGGGCTTTTGTTTCTCTTTTTATTAACTCTTCCCTCATGCTTAAAGTGATTGCTCAATCCCTCACGCTTAGGAACCCTAAAATAATTAACTAAAACATTACTTTATATAAAATTATAGAATGAATTGGGATCAATGCATGCAGGTTAAAAATCCCAATAAAAATGGTATTATTTTGACTTTTTAAATATTGTATTAGACCTTTTATCAAGAGCCATCAACCAAATGCCTTAAATTCTCCTTTCAATAAATCATCCATGTATTTTTAAGACATTTTATAAATACTATACTCTTATTGCTGAAGTTATATAATAATGAAATTGTGTCAATCTAATTGTGGATTCCAAAGGTATCATGTGATGCATTGAAAAAAAAAACTTGGGTGATACTTCAAAGATATCTAGATAACAAGCTCAATAGTTATATGAAGGTCTATCAGAAGATCATCAATCGAATAATTCATTATGGCTTAAAATTTTCTAAGTTAGGTATATTCTGCATAAGTGCCCACATGGGTCCTTTCGTTGCTTCTATGTTGGGGCAATATTCTCGGACTGTAGCATGTTGTTCTTGATTCCTCAAAGAGTTGCTAGCGCATTGTCCTTGTTACTGAGGTATGTGTCTTATTGTGAATTTTTCTTATGACAACAACTTATGAACTCTTAATTTGGGATCACCTTCGATAGGCTGTTTTGGATGAGAAAATCCTTCTCTTTCCATCATTAAACTCATTCATTAAATGTAAGACTAAACAATATCAAGAGTGGTTATCTTCTTGTAGTAGTGTGAGGATTGTTCTTCTTTCCCGACTTAGTTTTTCTCTCCTTTTATGTATATTTTTTGTTATTAGTAGAAAGTGAGATTGTGTTTTGTGATACTTGCTAAAATTTGAATTTCTTTCTTTTGTGTAAGGTTACAATCATGTGTGGCTATCATTATCCCTAAAATTTGTCACTGATTTCTAGTAGAAGGTCATAAATCTTTTGTCAACAATGGATTCTATCAATTTTGTTTTTAAGTTTCATCAAAGAGGTGTGGAAATGCTCAGGAGATGAACGGATTTTTTAGCTTACTAAATTCTTTAATATTATTTTGAAGACTAAGAAGATATCCGATGAGTGAAGGAGTGCGTTGATTCCTATTTTTAAGAATAAAGGTGACACACAAGAGTGTGCGAATTATAGAGGAATTAAGTTAATGTGTCATATATTAAAACTATTGGAGAGAGTAATTGAGCATAGGTTACGACGTGATATTAATGTTTCTTAAAATCAATTTGGAATCATGCCGGGTAGGTTTATTATGGGAGCTATACATTTATTGAGAGGTTTGATGGAGAAGTATACAGAGAATAAGGAGGATTTATATATGATATTTATTGATTTAGAGAAAGCATGTGATAATTAAATTTCAAAAGAAGTTCTTTAGAGAGTTTTAAAAAAGAAAGAAGTTAATAATGATTTATATTCAAGTCATTAAGTATATGTATATAGAAGTTGTTACTTGTATTCAAATACAAGGTGGTTTAACTAAATACTTTCCTACTTCAGTTGAATGACATTAAGGATCAGCTTTAAGCCCGTATCTTTTTGCTTTAGTTATGCATTTTCTTGCTAGACATTTGCAAGAGGATGTACCTTGGTGTATACTTTTGGCTGATGATATTCTTCTTATTGATAAGAATAGAGGGGGGGAGTCGAAGGAAAACTTGAATTATGGACGTAAACCTTAGAGTCTAAAGGTTTTCGTTTGAGTAGAACTAAATCCGAATACATGGAGTATAATTTGAATAGTAATAGATCTAGTGGAGGGACTGTGACTTTGGGTGATCAAATTATTAGAAAGAGTATACAATTTAGATATCTACGATCTATTATTCAAAATGATGATAAAATCGATGGCAATTTTATTAGTAGAATACAAGTTGGATGGTTGAAGTGGAGGAATGTATCGGGTCTGTTGTATGATAGAAAAGTATCCTTCAAACCTAAGGAAAAATTTTATAAGATGGTGGTGAGACTTACAATGCTTTATGGCGCAGAATGTTGGACGTTAAAAGAGAAGCGTAAAATTAAGTAAAGTGTTGCAGAGATGAGGATGCTCAAATGGATGATTGGCTTTACTCTTAGAGGCAGAATGCGAAACGAGTATATTAGCTTTAGTAGTAGATAAGATTAGGTGAGTCACCTTAGATGGTTTGGTCACATAAAATGTACGCCTTATGATGACCTAGTTAGGAGAGCAAATGTGTTAGATCTAGCCTATGTTGAGAAATGTAGAGGTAGACCTAAAAAGACTTGGATAGAAAATATTAGAAATAAACTTTTTTTTATTAGATTTAAATGAGAATTCGACTCTTAATAGGACACAATGGAAAAAATAATTCATGTATCTTACAAAAAAATTGTTTTATATATTTCATGCAATTAGATGTTGAACTTACATAAGAAATCCTATACGTTCTACATCATCCTCCAATTTTATAGAGAACATAAACAAATGCTATCTCAAAGCAAATCAAAAGGATTTAAACGCATTGTTTACCTATGGATGAAAGGAAATAAAAAAGGAATAAAGTAATACTAAAATGTCTAAATTTTTACAGCCCTTCTAAAACTTCAATATCATTAAGCGTTTCTTTATTTTATTTACATGCCTTATTGAAGCATTTTTTTTATTCTCACTATGCTCAAAACCAATAAACACCAACTTTGGAATAGATAAATGAAATTTGGACATCAAATTTTTATATGGAATGATGCACCTCTACATTTATCCATAATATTTTATTGTTGCAAGGAATTCAACTAGTCTTATTTCTCATTATGTAGCAAACTGAGCGATGAGGATGGCGGGCATGGCAAGAACTGCAGTATCTTCTGTTTAAACAAGCCTCGCTAGGTATGTTTTGTGACAGTTGCCAAAAGCTGCAGTTAAAACTACAATATAGAAGTTTACAATAATTACATTACATCTCCTCAAGAATGAAAATAAATGTTAATAAAGTTTTTTTTTTTTTTCATTTGGCCCAGTACCATTAGCTAAAGATTTTTAAAATGTGAGCATTAAATGGAAGTAGTTCATAAGCAACTCGCCAGAGTAAGTATTATGGTTGAATGACAAACCTTGCTGGCTGCTACTTCTTGATGTCTCAGCGGCAACAGTTGAGGAAACAGGAACTAGCCGCCTTTCAGCTAAATGCATAGTGTCTCCATCTGTCAAATCTAATATAGTAAAGGGTGAACTGGAAGAGCGGCAAAGCAAAAAATTGGAATTATGCGCCAAAAAAGCAAATACAAGTAACTTTACAAGCATCACTATTCACCATACCGGAAGTTTTGAAAATTAAGAAAGTCGCTCGTCTATATAGAGGAATTGCTAAAGCAAAATGATTAACACTTGATATATCATCAAAAAATTATCTTGATCATGCACGAATCTCAAAGCAAAATCAAGTTGAAAACTTCAAAAATTAACTCCGTGACCATCTGAACTCCGATTTCAGCAAACTTACAATCGAACTGAACGTTTCGGAAATACAAACCCAACGACACCAAATTCGACTCAATCCGAGCCTAAATGAATCCAAATCAAAGAACTGAAGCACATTTGGAAGGTTCAAACCATAATTTGAATTACTAAATGGTTTCCAAACGTGACATGCTTATATTGGAATCGAGAAGCTCGACGAGGCGAATCCAACGAGCCAAAGATCGTCAAATTCTCATATCATTAAGACATTCAAATGCCCAATAAACGGTTTACGATCAAGGGAATCAACATCGGTTGTCCATTCAAACCACTCCCAACTTACCGTTGATATTCCTCCTATTTACTGGTCATACCACTCTCAAAAAAACTATAAATAGAACCCGCAATCCTCATGGAAAGGGGCCGAAGCAAGAAGTCAAGGAAGAGAGTTATCTTGCTACCAGACTCCTCGACCACCATTGAGCTTCTACTAGGCCACCGACTATCGCCGGACTTCCACCTCGCTGCTGACTGACGTCGGACTTCCACCCGGCCTCCGACTAATGACAAACTTCCACCGGACTACTGACTGACGCTGAATTTCTGCACGATCACGGACTGAGTCTGGATTTCAGTCCAACCTTCAGATCCAACCCGACAATTGACTATTTTAATATGATCGTCTTCAGTTTCAAGAACGAATAAAACATTTGTAATTTACTCAAACACTAGTGGAATTATTTTCAACTGGGCGTGGCCCCATGATTTTTCCTTTTTCCTAGGTTTCCACGTAAAAATTCTAGTGTTTCCTTTTTCTTCTGTATGTGTGTTGGATATCCGTACAACGCTAAGACGAGAAAATTTAAATCTAACACTGGGTATATTCTAGCTCGCAACAATTTGTCACAGTCTGTGATACAACCAAAAAAATTAGGAAGACCCTAATTTTTGCAAGCATATTAAAAGACTTCCTAGAAAAATAAGAAAATACCACAAACAGACAAAACACAACTTAACGTTCAAAATAGAAAGACGACACATACAAATTTAACATAAAAATTCCTAAACTTGCTTTTCATTTCATCGAGAAGAAAGAGACAGATGTCGTCAAACTTGCGGAGAGAAGAAAGAGGTAAAAAGCCTGAGACGAAAGAGAGGACAAGCTCGCAAGTTTTCCTAAGAAGGAGAAGAGGAATGGAACAAGCTCGCAAGCTTTTCCAAGAAAACCCACAGGTTTTTGTATTCCAAAAATCACATCATAAACTGTTTTTTTAAACTCTCTAAACATCTCATATATATAGCTAAAAAGAGGCAACCAAACAGCCCCTAAAACACTCAAACCAAGCCAATCAAAACAGAGAAACATAAGGCCAAAAGGCTGTCCAGGAGAAGCACCTGAAGAGCCACAAAGGGGACCAGCAGGCTGTCCTGAAGCAACACCCAAAGAGCACAAAGGGGACAGGAATGGGCAGTCCTGGGGAACCGGAACAGGCAACCAGGGGAACCGGAACAAGCAACAAGGGGGGAAGGAACGAGCCACGGGAAGGAGCCAAGGGGAGGAATCGAAGGGCCACAGAGAAGGGGAAAGAACCTTCAATTTATGAGCTGAAAACAGCAACTCAACCATAATGAGTTGGAGCTAAGCAACTCCCCAAAACACAGCAAAACCGAACAGCCAAGCCCAAACCGAGAGCCACCAACAATCCAAAATTAGGCTCATGATTCCCCCCCCCCTCCCCCCTCCTCTTGCTTACATCAGAATCTTCCCCGGTTGAAATGACTCATCTCCTGATGAGAGGATGTATTAGGATTTTTCTAACGAAGGAGGCGCTTCTAATTCTCGATTCTTGGCCGCATACTTCTTCATAATCATCTCTCATTCTTGAATGAATTGGTTTTGCAGAAGTTTCTTTTTTTCATGTAATTTTTCATACACATACATTTTCATTTGAAGCTTGTATAATTCATTCTGTAGGGGATCGGTTGAACCTCCTTCTAACGGAATCCATCTGTCCAAAGGGATTTGGATCTCAAGATCTTCTGACTGATTTTCATCCACAAGTAGTTCAATATTTTTGTCTTTTTCATTTTTTTTAAACTCTTAAAAAACACGAAAAAAAACCTAGGAATATACTAACCTGGCTCTGATATCAAACTTGATGCAACCAAAAAAATTAGGAAGACCCTAATTTTTGCAAGCATACTAAAACTTCCTATAAAAATGAGAAAATACCACAAACAGACAAAACACAACTTAACGTTCATAATAAAAAGATGACACATACAAATTTAACATAAAAATTCCTAAACTTGCTTTTCATTTCATCGAGAAGAAAGATAGCAGATGGTGTCGAACTTGCGGAGAAAAGAAAGAGGCAAGAAGCCCGAGACGAAAGAGAGGACAAGCTCGCAAGCTTTCCTTAGAAGGAGAAGAGGAATGGAACAAGCTATAAAGCTTTTCCAAGAAAACCCACAGGTTTTTGTATTCCAAAACTCACATCATAAACTCTTTTTTTTTTTACTCTCTAAACATCTCATATATATAGCTGAAAAGAGGCAACCAAGCAGCCCCTAAAACACTCCAACCAAGCCAATCAAAATAGGGAAACAGAAGGCCAAAAGGTTGTCCAGGAGCAGCACCCGAAGAGGCACAAAGGGGGCTAGCAGGCTGTCCAGAAGCAGCAATCGAAGAGCCACAAAGGGGACAGGAACGAGCAGTCAAGGGGAAGCGGAATAGGCAACCATAGGAACCGGAACAGGCAACCAGGGGAACTGGAACATGCAGCCTAGGGGGAAGGAAGAGCCACAGGAAGGAGCCAAGGGGGGGAAACTAAGGGCCACAGAGAAGGGGAAAGAACCTTCAATTTATAAGCTGAAAACAGCTGCTCAACCATAATGAGCCGGAGCCAAGCAGCTCCCCAAAACACAGCAAAATCAAATAGCCAAGCCTAAACCGAGAGCCACCAACAATCCAAAATTAGGTCAGAAACCTCGCATTCCTCCGAACATCCCCGAAGACTTAGCCCGACCGCACATTGTTGAGCCCCCTCGTAACACCCTACGTCATGAACTACGACAATTGGTTCGAGAAGAATTCCTCGTGGGAGATAGAAAACAATATCTTCATCAATGGGACTTCTAGGAGTCATCATCCCTGACTGAAGTCATCCTTCAACACCCCATTCCGGCAAAATTCAAACTACTAAGCATCTATTCTTACAACGGAACATCCGACCCCTAAGAGCATATCGATCACTATAGAACCATCATGCATATCAAGTGAGCCTCAAACGCGCTCCTTTGCCAAGTTTTCCTTGCCACCCTCAAGGGATAAGCTCGAAAGTGGTTATATTCACTTCCAACCAGAACGATCCCCACATTCGTTAAATTGGTCAAAGTGTTTGTCAAATAATTTTTAGCCAATCAAAGAATTGTTAAGCATTATTCTTACCTCTTTGGGATTCGCTAGAATGAAAGAGAATCGCTTAAGGAATATTTTCAACGATTTTTCACCAAGGCTCCGTAAATTTCAAGTGTGGGTTCTAAATTGCTGAGAGGAATTTTCCTTGGAGGCCTCCGCCCCAGTCCCTTTTACTTGGTGCTTATGTGAGACATGGTTCCCTCGTATGTTGACCTAATCCATCGTATGGAGGACCATATCTCTACATATGAAGCCATTAATGCTCATAGATAGCAGTTTGTGCAAACAAATGGAAAGCGTAAAAGTTCACAAGAGATAGATAACTCATTTTTGCAGAGAAAGAAATAAAGGAAGAATAATCTGCTTCCTAGGCCCTCGTTGTCATGACGTCAACTTTGACAAGAGGAGTATACACCATTCAACGCATCTCGAGTAAATGTGTTGATGGTCATCCGAGATCAGAAGAACGTGAAATGACCAAATCCTTTGAAACCGAATACGAGAAATAATGATCAATATTATCATTTCCACCGTAGTCATAGGCACATCACTGAAGCCCGTAAGAAGCTCAAGAAGGAAATTGAGAGACTTATCCAACAAGACTACCTTCGACAGTTTATTCAAAATCCACCTGCTCGACATGAAGCTTGTCTTACTAGGGGGCAAAATCAACAACAGCAAAGATAACCGTTGAATAATCATCAAATTGTTTGTGAGATTAAAACCATTGTAGGGGGGCCTTATTGCCTAATTAAATCTTATTGGTTGTAATAAAAAGCCAACACCAAAGAAGTCCCGTATCGATCATTCTATTACTTTTGATTATTCTAATTTGAAGGTAATAAAAATCCCTCATCAACATCCACTCATAATTAATGCGGGGATCGGGGATAGGTGGCCCGTGTTACAAAGTCAAAAAAAATTTGGTGGACAATGAGAGCTCTGTGAATGTCTTATTCTACTATACTTTTCTCAATATTGGTCTCACCAGAAAAAACCTTCAACCGTCGCAGAATGATGTAAGCAAAAATTTGGGAGAGGGACCCAAATTTTTGCTAGAAAAATAAAACCTTCCTAGGAGATATAAAAAACATAAAATACTAAAAAATACTCAAAAAGACACTTTTTATATTAAAGATGACTTACAAACTTTTGACTCTTTCAAACGACTCAAACAAGACACCTAAAGTTACTTTCATCCATTAGAAGAAGGATACAGGTGAGGTGGCAGTTGCGGCGAGAAGAAAGAGATTAGAAGCCCGAGAAGAAAGAGGAGAAGCTCGCAAGCTTTCCTAAAAGAGGAGAAGAAGAGAAGTTGGACAAAGCTTGCAA